TTTCGTTCCCATTCCCCTCCCCACCTGAATTCCCCCATTATTATGGCATAATTTAACGAAACGCCATGTACATGTACGTGGTACACATGTTTGATATGAATGTAGTCCTTCTTATAGAAAAGTTTTCGCTCCTCCTCCTCCTCCTCCTCCTCCTCCCTCTCCTCCTGTGATCTCCTTCTCCTCCCTCGCTTCCTGTGATCTCCTTCTCCTCCCTCTCCTCCTCCCTCTCCTCTTCCTGTGATCTCCTCTCTTCCCTCTCCTCCTCCTGTGATCTCCTCTCCTCCCTCTCATCCTCGTGCTCTTCCTTCTGCTGTAGGTACCTCCATCTCTTCATCTTCTTCCTCTTCTTCCTTCTCCTCCTCCTGGGAGTCTTCCTCGTGTCTGACGAACTCCGGTGCTTCTTTTCTCAATTCTGATGCATCATCCCCTTTTATCTCTTTCTCTCTCCTCCCCCCTCTGTCTTTGTTATCTCGTCTTCCACAGAAGAGTAGAGCAAAACCATCCAGTGGAGAGACCTTCGTGGGTTCGTGTGATCGGTTCTGTGCGACGCCGATCTTGCCGAAGGTGATCATGTGGTCCTGATGTGTGGCTGCGACGACCGGTAGAAGTGTGCGGCTGCATTTGGACAACCACCACGACCGGTAGCAGCAGCAACCCGACAGCGACCATTGACTCGTGTGTGTCCGTTTGTGCGCCACGGTGATGATTGACCAAGTACCTCTGATTTTGACCGGCAAGTCTGAAATGATGAAGTAAATTGAGAGGAAAAGAGAAAGAACAAAAGAAAAAGGGAGGAGAAGGAGGTGAAGAGAGGCCGCACAGTGACATATAGACACGGAAGAGAGAGAGATGTGCGGCATCGCGCTTGTCGCACATGGCATTCAATTGGCCTGCTCTTGCCACGTTGGCAATGGCAGTGGCGATGGGGGTCATGGCTCAATTTGTGCGGCCGTTGGTGCTGAACAAGGTGACTTAGCACAGGATACCGACCGTGCAATCCACGGCAGAGATGAGGGTCTGGGCTCGTGCCTCTGTCAGATCCTGAAGGTGAGAGTCAACGTTGATTGCTTTTTGTTATTTGTTACAGTTTAGGGCTGTATTTCAGTTTTCCTCTTTTTTCTGATCTTTTCTCCCTCCCTTCTTTTCCATTTTTCATTCTTCTTTCTTTTCCTGCCAATTTCTGGTCTTC